AACTAGTCAGTCAGAGCTGATGAAGCCTCTTGGATGAAGGTGGAACGTCTTTAAGGAACACTAGCAGGTCCAGCTGCTACCATTCATCTACAGGAATATAGAATGTAATGTAGTAAAGTCTTGACCTGACTTGTTGAAGTTCAGTGAGATGACTTGTGTTGTGAACAAGCACTATATCAATAAAACTGAATTGAAAGGAAATGCTTGAAAATAACATGAAACTGCTCTTATCAGTGGACAGTGGGTCAAATGAATACATGCGGTCACTCATAGCCACAGACAATATCAATAGTTTAAAACATTTACTGAGGTTTTTTTGCCTCTTGCAGCTTATGGTTGTGATTTAATGGCAGACAGACACGATCAGAGACGACCAGGTGAACAGCGGGAGCATTTAGCAGCTAAAGAGTCCGATGTTTGTGTCAGGGCTTGGTGGAGACCAAAACAGAGTGAACAGCAGAGCACACATACAAACCTTCATGCTCAAGTGCTTATGCATCTGAATAATTAATAATAGTAACAGAAGTGTCATGACTTCATTTGGTTATTGTGACAGGTACTCGCTGAGCGATCCCAGTAACTCGTCCCCAGGTTTACCACTATGTCCCATCCACCTGAATGGACTGGAGTTCTTCTGTCGCACCGACAACGTCTGCGTGTGCAGCATCTGTGTAGAGACGGCAGAGCACCGAGGACACAACGTCACGTCTGCAAAGAGAGAGTGGCACATCAAGAAGGTGAAGGCAACATCACTGCAACAGGCAGACCGGGTTCAATCGGGCCACAGTAACAATATAAGAACTACAGCTTCGATCCAGTGGTTTTAGAAAACAAGACACTGCAGTAAACAACAAAAATGTAAATCTGAATTTCACAACAAAAACTAAAACCGTAGTGTGGATGGTGCTGTAGCCACATAGATATCCTATACACAGGTGATTCAGGGTGCATGTTGTGTCTAGAACATATTCAGTAACGCAGACGCCATAACAAAATGTGCAGTTTAAAGGGAAGGTTTTAGGAGAAAGGCCTGCTTTAAATGGCTTTACTGATTTTCTTATGCTGTCTTTTCTGTAACGATGTATGACCCTGGTGTTAGCGCTGTCGTGTCCGACCACCTGTAGGAGGGGACGTAACACTGGTCACCAGTTAAAGCTACGTAAAGTCTGTGTTTTCTGCTCTGTAGTCCCAGTTAGGGATCACAGAGGTGGAGCTGAAGGACCTCATCCGTGAGGGAGAGAGGAAAGTGGAGGAGATACACAACTCCATTCAAGAGATAAAAGTGAGTGTTCGGTCTGTGCCGAGGTTTGAAACTCTTCCGACAAACCATTTCTGTGCAGATAGTCACATAATTGGCTTGCAGCAACTTTTTCAGCCCTGATTTTGGCCTGGTTTAGGGCTGGTTTAGCCCTGGTTGAGCCCAGCCCTGGTTTAGCCCTGGTTGAGCCCAGCCCTGGTTTAGCCCTGGTTGAGCCCAGCCCTGGTTTAGCCCTGGTTTAGTCCAGCCCTGGTTTAGCACATTTGAAGACCAGCAGTCTAATTCACAATAAACTCAGTTCACATTTCTCGGTTCTTGTGCATGGGGGCGTACTTTTTGTTTTTACCAACCCGTTCTTGAAGCTAGACTCTGACACTGTGTGTGTTCTGCTAGCTTTATAAACGATGATGGCTTTAAACAACACCTAGAATAGGACCAAACTTTAAACAACACAAACTGCATTCGTTGCATGTTGGATATACGGCGTGCTCAGAATTTGCCATTTTTCCACTTTAGCAGCCCTGAGTGATGCTATTCTAAAGTTTCATGACGTCCATTAAAAAGGTGCATCACACAAACACTAGACAGCACTTTTCAGCTGAACCTGCCTAATTTTTCCACAAACTTCTCGTCCTATTTGTGTTAATCAGGCTGCTGCTGATCGAGAGACATGTGAGGCTGTCGGTGCTTTCTCCAAGCTGATCTCCAGCGTGGAGTGTTGCCAAGCTGACGTCTTGAAGGTAAGCAACCTGACACAGAGCATGGAGGGAGCTGGATGACATGAACCCAAGGCCTATACTGTTTGCTGTGAAATCAAAGTAGACAAGTTCACTGATCACAGAAATGGTCACTTTAAGGTATATTCACTAAAGCGCCTTGCTATCCCCAGGTTATAGAGATGAATCTTCAAGCTGCAGAGCAAAGAGCTGAGAGTTTGCTGAGAGAACTGGAGCAGGAGATAGCAGAACTAAAAAAAAGGAGTACAACTCTTGGCCAGCTGGCTGTTTCTGAAGACTACATATTCTTTTTCAAGGTATGGATACATGGAATAGGTCAATAAAGTGAAATAAGGTAACCCAGTGTCCTGGTATTGTTCCTCTCTTTCATGCTCCATAAGTATGTACAAACCTGACAGCCCCTATTATGTCACTATGAGATGACAGTGTTTCAGTCTCTTGTCATGTCAGGAATGTTTGACGTTTTCAGGTTTCAAATGGTCATGAAAGTTCAGTGGTGTTGAGATAAAGTGGCCTGATTATCCTCCTGCAGGATGAATCCTTCTCTACAAACAAGAGGGTGCAGCATGTCTCTGAAGAATGGAAGTTTTACTTCTCCTCGGTCAGGGTGGAGGAGATTTGCTTTAGGTGTTTAACTCCAGAGCAGAAAAAGCCCTCAGTCCCTAAACCTGACTACAAAATGCTTAACAATGCAAGTGGACATGATACTCCTCAATCAGACCTGAGAAGGAATAAATGCATATGAGAGCATATTAAATGGTCTGCACTTATACAGAGCCTTTCTACCTTAGTGGTACTCAAAGCGCTTTACAATGTGTTTCTCATTCACCCATTCACACACACATTTATACACCAATGGTGACAGAGCTGCCATGCAAGGTGCCTTCCTGCCATTGGGAGCACCTCAGGGTTCAGTGTCTTGGCTAAGAACACTTCAATATGTGGAAGATGGTGATCGAACTACCAACCTTACAATTAGAGACTCTACCATCTGAACCACAGCCGCCCAATGAAAAGTGCTTCACAATGTGTCTCTCATTCAGTGCAGTTGGATCTTGTAATCAGCATGTTGGATTCACAGGAAATGGTCTTGTGCAAACCAACAATTTAAAAGCGCCCAGATCATTATGTGCAGACACCTGGTCCAGAGTCTTTCTAACAAGTAAGGCTTGTGGGGTTGTCCAAGGGACAAACCACGAACAGGTGTAAGAGTTGTGAGGGATGTGTTATAACAAATCTAATCCACTGTGGCTCCACCTCACAACAGACAGGACCTAAAGGGTCTGCTGCTAACATCTTAATATCTGATACCGCAGGAATCCTGGGGTCTTCGAGGGTCAGAGTTCTGTTGGTGATATGCTAAAGAGACTACTGACTGACAGGATGATCTCCATCTCTTTGACACTTTCCTTCCCTGCAGACATTCCCTGCCCTGTCCACCCCTCCACAGGTCAGTAACTGGTCCAGTGTCTCTGTGTCATCTCAGCTGACCTCAGGGGAGATTCTCAGAGCTGTCAATCAGAAGCTGGAGCCTTTTCAGGAAGAACTGCAGAAACTGCCAGAAATCTGTGAGTCTTCATTTGGACCTTGATTAAACCTGGACAGTCAAGTAAAGATGGTAAACTTAAGGGAACATCTGGTGCACTTCCAAAATGTTCTGCTAATGTCTTTCAGTCAACTGGACCAACTGTACCAAAGCTATATCTTCAGTTTGTTATCTGTCAAAAAGACTGTCCATTGACGGGTGCCCAGATAGCTCAACTGGTTGGGCGGGTGACCCATGAATAGGGCTGTAGTCCCCGACGTAGAGGTTGTGGGTTCGAGTTTGGCTCACAACCATTTACTGCAGGTCCTTCTCCCCATATTTCCTGTCTCTCTCTCTCTCTACTATCACTATAACAAAGGCTAACTCAGCACCCCCCTCAAAAAAAAACAACTGTCCATTGATGAAGAAAGCAGCCCATCTTTTGCTCCCTCTACCCCTAGTGTCAGCCATTATTCCATTACCATACTGCCCCCTCCCAGCTGTCTGACCAACTGTATGACAGGTTTTACTCTGCTAATGTTCTGGGTCGGCTTACCTTCATAGACCCACGCTCTGTGTTGGTAAGCTCACCATATACAGGACAGGACGCCCGTTCATAACAGGGCTAAGACAAAGACAGCCATGGGTTAGGGTTAGGGTTAGGGGACAACCATGAAAGTTGACACTCACAACAACGGCTAGTTTAGGAAAACCCCAGCAGGCACAGAGAGAACATATAAACTCCACAGAGAAAGCCTTTTCGAGTTCTGAGGGCAATAATGATCACACGTTCAAATGAAAATGTGTACAAGGTAATAACTACAAAGATAAAAAAGGATCTTTTCCCTCATTGACAGGCAAGCAGTTGATGTCAGACCAATCTGTACCTCGGCCCAGCCAAAGTAAGATTTGACCAGCTTTCCTCTAAACTATTTTCCTGTTAAAATCAATGAATCAATAAAAGATATCGGAGTAATTCCATATTTTGTTCTTTACAGAGGTAAGGAGAGTTCAAGAATATGCAGGTAAGGGTTTAAAACACACTTCGGCCTTTGTGTTTGTTATCATTCTTCTACATTGTTTGGTTCTGCCATCAGTTTGTCAAAGAAAAACCCAACCGTTACTCCCCTCGATCTCTTAGAGAACATCACTCTCGACCCGAGCACCGCCCATCCACGCCTCATAATCTCAAGAGATGGGAAGCAGGTGCACTGTGGTGACCGTCATCGGTCACTACCAGACAACCCTGAGCGCTTTGACCGGGTGGTGTGTGTACTGGCCAACCAGGGCTTCAACTCAGGACGCCACTACTGGGAGGTAGGCGGGACCCAGTGTGGAGCTGTGTACATGTGGATGGTTGTGTAAAATTTAGGTCATTATGATTCTTAATGTTCAAGGGAAGTTCAGGCTTTCATGGTTTTATTTGATGCCTAGGTTCAACATCAACAGATCTAAACATTTTCCCATTTGATTTAAGGCTTAAAAACTCAACACACTCACACAACGACCAAAAACCTAATATCTAGCTCGGCCTCCTTTGGCCTTGATGGCAGCTGTGTTCTTGCTGTCTGTGTTGTTCTGTACTTTTCGACAGTCTGTTTTGTAGAAGTGGGATCCACACTTATCCTGTAAACGCTATCCTCTTCCAGGTGGAGGTAGGAGGAAAGACGGACTGGGACCTGGGCGTGGCAAGCAGCTCTGTCAATCGAAAGGGGAAAATCACTGTAAGCCCTGCAAATGGTTACTGGTTCCTCAGCCTGCGGGATCGGACCGACTATGCCTTCCGAACAGAACCCTCAACCAACCTGACAGTTAACCCCAGACCGTCCCGGATTGGAATCTATGTGGACTTTGATAAGGGACTGGTGTCCTTCTACAACGTGGAGGCCAGAGTGCTCATCTACACATTCACAGATTGTTTTTCTGACACCATCCATCCATTCTTTAGCCCCTGTACAAATAAATCTGGACAGAATGCGGCTCCACTGATCATCTGGCCTGTCACCGCGACAGAATGACATGAGCCAACATTTAAAGGAATCTTCCACATGCTTCCATGTATGTAGGAAAAAGACTGAAAGACACAAACATACCTCTGAACAAAGCTGTGCTTCAGGCTGCAGTAGGCAGAAATCTGGCAAATCCCAAAAAATACTAAAATTCTCAAATTTGAAAATGTACAGAGATGGAGCTCCTCCCTCCTGTTTGTTCTAAGCCCCTCCCACCTGATGAGAGCTGCGATTCAAACATGCAAAGATAGTAAAGTAGAAGTCAGCATTGTTTTGTGGCCTCTCACTGTGGTCTTTGGTTGTCTCACCCCCCGCGGGTGAAAAGACTTCCCATCATGGGCAAGATGTTTAAAGTCTGAAAGCTGAGCCAAGAGGAGTTGCACCCGAACCATAGCCCTCTAGTTTCCTCTCAGATTACTTGAATGTTGAAAAGTCAGTTGTATTTGTGTAGCCCAGTTTACAGCATGTGTCATCACACAGCCTTAACCTGGTCAGGTACACACCGTACAGGTTTAACAGAGAACCCAACAATCCAAAGATGCCTTTGGACTTCCTCTGAGCAAGCGGTTGGCAACGGCCAGGAGTGGGCCTCCCATGGCCAGATGAAAGCCGTAGATGTGGGCCAGAATAATGTTGGTACTGGAGCTCAGATTTAAAGCACACCGCTTGGGCCACATACTGGTGTTTCTCATGACTCAACATGTGTGGTTGCTCTCCCCAAGTTGTCAGACTGTTTAACTCTGAAGCACTTCTGGTGGTCAAACATGAAATGTGATGAAAAGTTTATCCAAGTCACCATGGAGTCAATAGACAGAATATTAAACAGAGTTTTCTCTCAGCTCACGTTATTAGCCTGAAAACAACGAACTCTGTGAATGCACAGGACCCAGACTGCATGCTGCTGGGGTTTTTAACCGATGATTTATTATAGATAGATGTGTTTCCCTTTTTTTCAGATGCTTTCTCTCCTTCTCTATCATTCATTGTTGTGTTTACTTTGTGAGGTACTCAGATACGTCTCATGTGTGTCTGCTGTTCGGTTGTTCCTTCATCCGTTGACGTAGGCTTTAGTTTTGTAAAGTAGTTTCTAAAGAAAAACAGAGCTGCTGTTTGTTATGCTCTAATAAAGCAACAGATGCTACCTTCATATTTATCATATTTGAACGTATTCTGAAGCAAAAATGAGTTTGTAAATGCTTCCTTTGAAAGCTGGCGTTGCTGTTCTTTATGCTTCAGTGATGGACTTATATACTGAGATTGTGGTGATTTTATGGATAACTGAAAGTAAGAGACAGACGGTTCAGTTGAATCATATGTGGGGGTAGAATGATTACTGCCCCCTGCAACGAACCAGAAGGGCTGCAGGTCAGTAACTGATGTGTCTGTGAAGAGCAAAGCCAGGCCGAAGCAGCACATGATGAAGAACGGCTGCCGTTGTTCAGATGTACACCTGTCTGTGTGATTTGTACAGTGGTACCAGATTCAGAGGGTTAATTATAAATGTGCCTGTGATATAATCACTTCACTTGCCGTCACTGTCTTTGATAGCAGCCTGTGTTGATTCCTGTTGTGTGAATACATCTATGCTGGCCGGCCACTTGTTCACAAGCTTCCTGATCATCTGTGTTTGTAGAATGATTGTGAACTGTGGAGTCAAATATAGAGTTTGAAACCTGCTTGCATGTTAAAAGTACCTTTATTAATCTCTTCTTTTCTTTTGTGGGTGTAACTGCAGCAGACAGGTGCTCACTGCCTGACGCTGGTAAACCTCCTATAACAAGCCTGGATACTGGACGGACTTCACTTCCAACGTCTGATATGTTATACGGGCAGAGACGATCATCACAGAGCGTAGAAATGCTGGACAGACATTAAGTGATGGGTTGTTGGTAGCAATGGTTCTGAAGGGTCCGCCAGAACCATTCAGACCATTCGTTACTCATGTCACGCAAAGTGAGGTGGAAATACCGTTTGCTGATTTCAAAACTAAACTACGAAGCTATGAGGACATGGAGGAGATGCGCTAGAGCTCCAGATGACGACGTGATGAAGGCTGAATGCTTCATCGTGTGCTACAGATGTGGTCTAAAGGGCCACAGGGCCAGAGCATGTCACCGCCAGCAGTGGTGGAGTCAGTCAACAGCACATCAGGATTCAGCCTGAAGGCGGAAACAGCGGCGAGACGACGGCGGGAAAGTTTCTGAGGAGAGATGCGACAGTGAATATCCAGGGCTTACTGTCAATGAGAAAGGTCAGATGGTGGATCCAGGAGCAACTTCACACATCATCAGTAATACAGCAAAGGTCAAGGAGTTTGACGACGATGTCAAGCCCCAGACGCACTGCGTGGAACTAGCTGGTAGCACCAGAGGCACCGGAGTGGCTGCAGAGGAAACGTGGAGCTGGCTTTGACTGACAGCAGAGGGCAGCGCCACAACACGACCCTGAGAAATGCATTGTACATCCCTTCCTACCCACAAGAAAGATTTTCAGTGAAAGCAGCTACTGCAAGTGGAGCAGCTGTGATCTTCAAGCAGGGAAAAGATCTCCTGCAACAAGCGTCCATATTCATGTGTGGGACAGTCTACATCATTTACAGACACCGAGTGGTGAATGCACTGACTACAGGAATGGCATCAGATCCTGGGACACTGTTACAGAGTGTTGTTAAAGGCATGACAATCAAGGGCAGAATGCATAAAACTACCCCACATGGGCCCGGGACACGAGTCTGTTTCCAGTGTTTTTGATGTTTTCAGCAGCTGCTGTCGCGTTGGCTTTGGGATGAATGTAAAACAGGATGAAGAACAGCTGAGGGAGGAGGGAGACAGCGACAAGTCCGATGTCAGTGTTGCACAGCTCCTCTCTGACAGCGACTGTTGAGCAGCAGCATGCGTTTACATAGAGACCGCCGCCGCCGCCGCCACCACCGCCACCACCGCCATGTTGTTTTACGGTGCGCTCAGTGTCTCGGTCAAGTCTTAAAGGGGGGCGAAGCCGTCAATGTGCAGCATTTCATTGCTGTCCTTATTCAACCACGTTTCTGCCAGAATGGAGGCAGTCCAGGAGCTGACTTAGGCCAGGATGAGGTTAGGGTTAGGGGGGCGCTCAGTCTCTACATTTCTCCCTCTTCAGTCTGGCTCTAACTCCACCTGTTTCCTTCCTCCCCCTCCTGGTTACCTTTTTTATTGTTGTTTAAGTCCTCTTTCTTATAAGAGAGGTCCTGTAGGATTTCTTCAGGAATCGTGTTGGAATAAACCAAGTCCATATGAACTGAACTGAACAAAAAAACTGCAACACCCTCTCCCATCACTGCTAGATTCCTCTCCCACTCACTAGAGGGCACCACTGATTTAAAAAGTGGGTGTCTGTTCTGCAGAAAGGAGTTCTGTGAATGAATCCTCCTCCGTGCACTCAGATAGAAAAAATCTGTAGCTCTGGAAAAGACATTTACAGTCCTTGGATTGGAGAGAGGTCCACTGTGATCAACAAAGGACACCAACGCAAATCTGAAACATCCATCCATCATCTACGGACAATTTACAATCACCAATTAACCTCAGCATGTTTCATATATAACTCTCCCTGTAATCATTTCCCCAGACGTTACCAAACCTTTACTTGATCACACAACAAGAACAACTTCATGTACAGTTTATTGTACTGGTGTGTAATTGTTAAAGTCAAATCATGATGTTTATCAGTCCATGTGAGAATACAGGTTCCTCTTCACCACCTCAACCTTTTTTTAAATTACTGAAGTTAATAATCACACACAGAGGTCTCTACTTGTTCGTAGGTAAACACAGTGTGTTCAGTGAACTCTGTTCAGCTCGCTGTAAGGTTTCTACTGCACGGTTAATGAACTCCAGACTCCACACCGACAAGTCCGGTGGAAAATTCCAGATTTATTGAAATGAAAGCGGCATCATCAAAATGTAAAAATGTCTGCACAGTCCTGTATTTCAGCTTTGACTGAGAGGTCCCTGTGTTAAATGCATTTAATGTGACTATCTCATGGGGTCTTTTCACTAAAACACTAGTTAGAATTGGCACATTACCCTGATCCATGTGGCTGTAGGATGGTCTTTGTCAGTCATACTGTCTGTAACGTACCGGTGCAGCTCAACACATTAGAACAGAATCAGATCCAAATCAGAATGATTCAGATCATTCAAAAAGGTCAGCTTCCATATATTCTATATTCCTTGCATGTTAGTGACAAATTTAAAGTCTTTTTCTGTTTTCATTTGGATGATCATGACTTTGAAGCTCATGTAAAACAGTAACCCTGTATCTCAAATTATTAGAATATGTCCTAAAATCAATGAGACAGACAACAAAACAGAAATGTCCCACTTTTGTAAAGTATGTTCATTTATACACTCAGTACTTAGTTGGAGCTCCTTTGCCATGAATGACTGGATCAATGCGCTGTAGCGTGAAGGCGAGCAGACGGTGGCGGTGCCGAGGTTCTACTGAGGCCCAGGTTGCTTTGATAGCAGCCTTCAGCCCATCTGTGTTCTTGGGTTGGGTGTTTCTCGTCTTCCTCTTGACAGTGACACATGTTCTATGGGGCTCAGGTCAGGTGAGCTGGCTGACCAATCAGGTGCAACATGTACTTCATCTGAACGGAGGACTGTGGAGCACTGAGCAGCAGTTTGTTCTCTCTTGGCCCAGGTGAGACCTTCTGACGTCATCTCTGGTTCAGGAATGTCTCGGTTTTAGGAATGCAACAGTTGAAGCAGACATCTGGTGGCTCCTGATGCACTGACACCAGTCTCAGTCCACTCACCTTGTAAAGCTCTCTGAAGTTCTTCAGCAGGCTTTTCTTGTCTCCAGGTCTACCTTGTAGTTTGTGCACCTCTTCTTACCACACGTTTCCCTTCCAGTCACCTTCCCATCAGGCTTTGAGACAGCGCTCTGTACAGCCGGCCCGTTAAGCGACGACGTTCTGTGGAGAGAGTCGATGAGATTCTTCTGGACAACTCTGAAGTCAGCAGACGTCTTCATGATTGTGCTGAGCTGGACCCAGAGACAGGCAGTAGTTATACAGGCTGAACTGTGACCTCCTCACAATGTTCTGTTACTGTAATGAGATACCGGAGTTCTGATTTTCATGAGCTATGAGCCAGAATCATAAGAAAGAGCAAAAAAGGCTTGAAATGCATGAATTCATGTGTACTGGATACAGAAGAGAAAACCTTTTTGAATGATCTACGTGGTTGAACAGTGGCTGGTCTTTTATTATTTTAACATGTTTTAAAGCATCCAGGTCAGACAGGACGTGGCCAAGGCCAGAACATACAGGAAGCAGCTGTTGAACTACTCGTGTGTCCTTCCTGCTGATCTGAGGCGTCCTTCACAAGAAGCTCATGACGGTTCCCTTCTTCCCGACCTGGTGCGGCTGCAGCGCGTGGAACTGAATGACAATCCTGCAAATCACAGCACAGCTGATGAAGACTGACTGGATGCATTTATGTGCACATGAACACAGTGTGGAACATCTGCTGAAGGACACAGCTCTCCTGAAGAGTGTGTGTCATTTATGATCCACCGTCTTCTCTAATAAACACTAACAGCTATTAAAAGCTAATTAGTCCTCGGAGATAAACTAACGAACCTTCAGGCTCAACTCAGAGGGGTTAGGGCAGGGGGACAGCGTCTACAACAGAAACCATTCACATCAGCTGGTGATTCGTTAGTGTCATATTCTGGTGTCGGCTCTGTTTCTGTGGCCTTCAGAACCGCAGGAACCCGTCTGTAGAATAACTATACATCAGCTAATTCCTAAATCAATACATCTAAGCAGGCTGAGAGGTTCTGGTCTGTGTCACTTAATTACTGACTTACTTTGCTTACAGATGTGAGGATGTGATGACTGAGGCTGTGGAGGAGATAGATCCCCGTTACTCAGGTGAAACCAGACGTGTGTGCAGGCAGAGCTCACCTGTCTTCAGTCAGACCCAGTTCTCTGGTCAGAAACTCAAAGATCTTGGCGCTGTGCTCCTTGTTCTTGTCAGCGGTGTCGGTCACAGCGATGGCGGACACCGACAGCATCACACAGGGGGAGCAGGAGCCAGCGATGAGCATGGGCAGCCCGGGCGTCACCACCACGTTCATCCTCTGGAAGATCAGCACCAACGTCAGAGAGCTCTCACACACGGGTCAGCACCACAGAGCCACAGGTGCTCCTCTGGCCTTGAGCCCACTAAACCTTTACTCTAACTATGCAGAGACGTGAGATGCACCTATTCAGAACAGAACCAGTACGTACGGCCCACAGCGTCTGCAGACAGCAGCCTGGATGAAACGGGTCCGACAGCTTTGGTTACAGTACCAACAGAACAGTGTGTTCATGTGCACACGGCTCTTTGTCTCGTTGTTCATTAGTCATGAAGAATCAGCGTTAATGTCATCGTACGGAGCACCGTGCAGTCAGACGGGTTCAGGCCTCGCTCACGGGCCCGACGCCGACCCGCTGTCCGTCCACAATAACAACACATCAACGACAACAGTATATTATATATTATATATTATGAGTAAGGCTGCGTGTCAGGGATATGACAGACAGGACCGTTTAGGTCCAACAGAACCACTGGGTTTGGTCTGAAACCACACAGATCCAGGGAACACCATAGACTTAGTGGAAATCATTAAATGTCTACAAGTTAACCAAGAACAGATCACATCATGGAGCTACTAACTCTGTGGTCGCCATTAGCAGCAACAGCCACTGATGAACAGAGACAAAGCCCAGCGTCCAAGTCCATCTCCTCTGGTTCTGGTTCTGCCTCTAATCGTCTCTCTTGTAGCACAAGAACTACAAAGACGGCCTTGCCCTGCAGCCTTTGGCGTTCCATTGTCCTTTCTTTAAACTAAACCAAACATGAACGTGGTCTGCTCCCTCACATGCTTCACTGCTGCTCTGATCTTTACTCAGGCCGGCTGCAGTCTTTCTCCTCCGGTCTGTCCATGAGCAAACCAAACCAACTGTGGGTCAGACCACAAGGTCAACATGGACCCAAGGACACAAACCTCTCCACGTTCTTCTGAGCTCCTCTCAGATTTATTTAATCACATTATTGTGGTAACTTCAGCGCTGATAAATAGTCAAATACAATCATCATGAATGCACAGAAGTTGCTGAGGTTTCTACCAGAAGGTTCGGTGTAAAGAATTAACTAGATGCTGGCTGACGTCCAGTTCAGGAGGAGGTTCTGTGGATTTATGTGGATTATAACTGAGCTTAGAGGATCAGTCTGTCTCCAGGACCTGGCATCAGACCTCACATCCAGGAGCCTTCTCAGCTCCGAGGCCTCCTGCTGCAGGAACCTGTGAACCGGAACCAGCTGCTTCTCAGCGCAGCTCCCGGGATGCACGTGTGCAGCTGTTGCGCAACACGCTGACGTCCTGCGCGTGCAGAAGCAGTTTAAGGTGAACGGAAGTACTCACGTCCTCCGGTTTCCCCAAAGCGGCGGCGACGCTCGAGCACAGCTTCCTCACGAAGTCCTCGGAGAACGAGCTGGCCGGTAAGTTGCTCCGCACGTCGACGAAAGGCATCTTGACGCTCTGCTGCCTGCGAACCCGGAGACACGACGACGGCTGTGGACCGGAAGGACGGCGGAAGTAGCGCTGGACTTTCAAAATACGCGTCGTGTGTGGAGCAGCTCTGCTGGTGGTGGATGATTCATAGACATCATCTACATCTGCTTTTTCTTTATTTGCCAGTGAATGAGCCTACAGAGAATGAAACAACACAAACAATTTGACAGACACAATGATAAATGTATTTAACAGTTTAAAATCCTATGTTAAATAAAAGATAAACTTTAAAAAAATAAAATAAAATAATAATAGTAAAAAAATAAAAATCATAAAGGGGACACGAGAAGGAGCATCATTGTTCTTTTTGGAGCAGTTCTTTAAATATTCTCACAGTTTTATTGATTGTTTTTGGTATTTATTTTATTCAGTGTTTTAATATTTTCTTCAAAGTCAACAGATAATTGAACAGACTTTGGTTTTACTGCTGCCAGTCTGTATTTGTGAACTTGAAATTTGTCAATTAGAATTATTAAACTGATTAGGAAGTCATTATTTTTGTGATCAAAGTAAGTTATGACACTTTTACAATCAATTTTAACATCAATTTCAGTTTTACACAATATATGATTCTTAATTTGATTCCAAAAAACAGTTGAATACGGACGATGGAAAAATAGATGACTGAAGGATTCGGTGTCATTTTTACAGAAGGTACTTTCAATTTGTAAAAATGTGGATAAGTATGAATTTGTTCCAAGTATATTGTGTAAAACATTAATGTGTACGTGTTTAACTTTACTATTAATGCAGAGTTTCTATGGTAACAGCCGTGCTCTTTGCCAACCAGCGTCTGTAAATCATCTAAATAATAAATCATCTGTATTCTAGAAATGGAACACAAATCCCATAAAATACAATAAACTGAGATGATGATAAACACATATCTGATCTCACTCTTGGGAGAGCAGATTGATCCGTTCTGGTGGTTGGTGCTGCTCGTTCTGTGATGATCTGCAAACTGGGGGATCTGAACTCCTGTATGTCAGACTCGTGCTTTTATTTGGAAAGAACCGGATGTCGGCCATTAACCTTTAAGAAAAACAAAAACACTTTATTGTACAAAGCTTTAGGGCACAAGTGAACAATCCAGAACTTGAAGTGGTGCTGATCCGCTATTAACGAGGTAAACAGTGAGAGATGAGTTCAGTCTTCCTCCCGCTGATGTGGGGCTCAACCTTTAGGTATTTACATGGACGCATGAAGTGCTTACCCAACAAAACCACAGCCGTTTACCAGAAAATCCCAACTGGTCACCTGTCCAGGTGAAGCTGCCTTCACCCTGAGTCTGCTGGGATAGGCTCCGCCCCCTAGTGAGGGTTAAGGAGTAGAGATGATGGATGGATTATGGTCCTCCTGTGATTCACTAAAAACAAGTCTCAAATTATAACTATTTAAAAAACTATTTTTGGAATCTGAAACTGTAATTAAACTATTCAGCTGCAGACGCCTTTAATTGAGATGATGAAGATCTGTGGCGGATTAGTAATGTGGACATCTGAGAGGACAGGGAGGAACAGGGCACGCTGTTTCAGCAGCTGGACTGGATACGTCCAGCAGACATCCACCAGTCAGGAAGAACATCTCAGATATCCACATCGTAATCATTCCCAGGACAAATGACATCACTTTGACATTTCACCTCTTTGGGGTTTCTCATTCCAAATATCTACAGTTCAGATTTCAGAGCTGTGACGAGCTGCACGGTCAGACATCTACACTTTAATTCTGACTGGTTCAAGATGTCTTAACTCCCCTCAGTTCAACGTATCTGCACTGCTCTGTTTAGATCTGAGTCCAGTCTGAACTCATGAGCATGATGCTGTAGATACCTCTATCTGTGTCTGTGATGATCATTCATTACTGGCAAAAAACAACGAGAAACATTCAAGTGAAGACCAGTTTGTTGTTTAAAACACAACATGGTAGAAACAAGACAACGCACGCCAAAGGAAGTAGATAGCAGCTATTTATTACAGGCTCAGTGCCGTATATACCAAATACATTTTGTACATTTCACGCTCCACGCTCACTGCCTGAAGCTCAGCATTCACATGTTTTGTTTTCATTCACTTCGACTAGAAAACCCAGGTGATGTCTGTAACGTGCCTCAGTAATGAGATGTGTCCATCAGACAGCTGGCAGCCTTCTCTCACACCAGCGACGTCACACCTAGACGACAACAGAGAAGCAGGAGAGAACACCATGAGCACTGAAACCACGGTACACGAATCATGTGAAAGACTGCTATGGCGGGACAACGGCCACATGTGGGCAGTGCGCCACGTAAAGGCTGTTCTAGTCATCCTGGACAGACTATGGGTCCATCCATCATTCACCAGACTCACCGTGGGAGAACTTGCACTGTTTGAGAGCCTCATTGAAGCCTTCACACAAAGTCAGGTCAGTTTGGTTGGTCGCACAGTCCAGGAACTGTTTGACCTCAAAGTGACAGGGTCCTGGCTGGGCCGGGGCCGGGCGGGGCGGCTCCTGGAACGACAGCACCCACAGCCTGAAAATTAGTCTGAACACTGCCGTGTTTTCATTCATCAGCTTTAAAACATGGCCTCAATCTGTTCATCAAACAACACACAGAGCTAGGCGTACCTCAACCGCATAAGACGGCCACCCATGAACAGGGCTATAGTTAGCTGTAGTTAGCTACAGTTAGCTGTAGTCAGCTATAGCTAGCTACAATTACCTACAGTTAGCTGTAGTTAGCTACAGTTAGCTGTAGTTAGTTGTAGTTACCTACAGTTAGCTGTAGTTAGCTA